TGACTCCCATAATAAAGCTCTAGAACTTCTCACTGGTGTGTTTAGCTGGTAAATTCTACCACAAGTAAAGCCATAGCCAGGAGACCAAAGTCATGCTGGGCTGGGCTGTGATTTTATTAGAGCTGTTAAGAGTTAAAATGGCTGTTCTTAAACATATCCATCTTAGCAGTTACTTAACACTATATTGGCATTCTAAGTTCTTATATTATTCATTTATAAACAGAGACCTGCAATATTTTGGCTAATAACCCCATATTGAATTGTTAGACTAGAACTTTGTCCAAAGCCATCTGAGCCAAGAAACCTTTCCAGAGTTTTTGGGGTTGGTGAAAGGTGGGGATTTAACTGACTGTAGCCCGGAGAGGGTCTGTGCTTGTTCTGTTACATGAACACTTGCTTTGTTGTGTATTGCAGTACACAGGTTGTGATCGGATCTTAGGTAACTGATCACGCTGAGTTTGCAGCAATGTTTTATTGCTCACTATATTTCAGCCACAAGATCAAATAGAAGTCGGGGAGGACGGCTTTAAACAATGGGATGGTAAGAGCAGTGTTCGCTATAGGATGCAGTAATGTATCATTTTCCTAAGTATTTCTTTTTAATTATTAAAGACCTAACAGTAAATTTATGTAATTTCAATTTTCCAAGCCCATTCTATACTCTAATTCCCAACGGCCGTGGTTCCTGGTATTTGATTCTACCCCTTTCTCCTGACTAGTGTTGGACTCCTTGGATATGGAGGCCCTGGTGAGCACGGTGCGTGCCTGGATTGAGAACCCAGTGAAGTTTGCCCGTTGCCACGGGGTGCCTGTCACACCTGGCTCTAGAGAGCCAGCCTCCAAAGACACCCATGTATTGGTCATTGAAGGCTTCCTGCTTTATAACTACAAGTAAGGTTTGGGGAACGAGTGGTGGGTTGCAGGGAAGGAGGCTAGATCCTCAGGGCCAGGGCTCTCCTCTTTACTAACATCCCCTTCCTGGCTTGTCCTGAGGTGTCTCATGTAGTATGGAAAATTTACCCTTAAGTGCTGGGAAGTGAGGTGTACGAGGTGACTTTCTCAAGGTAATGAACAAAGTTCACATTTAGGGTGTGGGGAGCTCTAGACCAGGACTTGTAAATACTGAGCCAGGAGCCCAGGGTTCCTCCTGGGCTCCTCTGTGGTGCCTAAACTGTGACCTGAAAAGGTCATTGATGAGAACAAGGAGATAACCTGCTCTGCATTCACTCCTTGGACTCTTCTGGAATTTAGGAACAGTTCTGATACATGATAGCTGTCAGCAGGTGATATGTGTGCTGCTTTAGTGCTGACTAAATTGACCTTAGTAATTAATTGTACATTGGAGCAAAGTTCAACCTTTATATGGGGGGGAAATGCTTGGCAGGAAGATGGGGAGCCTAGACCAGCAGTGAAGAGAGGAAACTTCCAATAGCTAAATAACTAAACTTCAGAAAATCACATGCTAGAAACACTGAGCCAAAGATCCTGGGCCCCAAACCATAGCTCTGGTTACAAACCTTTGGAGAGAACAAGCTGGGCACAGCCAGTGTTGGTTAGGAGCTGTACCCTGAGACTGGTGGCACCACCCCAGCTTCCCAGGCTGGCCAGGGGTGTAGAAGGGGCACCTTGGGGCAGCCATGGCACTGTTGGGCAGCTGGTGACCCTGCTGGCATGCTGCTGGGCTGGCCATGCTCCTGAAGGTCACAGGCACCTCTGGAGCCCCCGTGTTGCCAGCAGAGCTTTCCTCACCCCTGGGCCTGGAGCCTGCTCGGTTCCTAGCCCACCCTGTGCCCAGCAGGCCCACGCTGCCAGCAGCACAGCAGGCTGGTTAGAGGAGTCACTTGGTGTTGGATGGGTGAACCACAGCCATGGTCTCCTGTGAGCAGAGCTTGAAATGCTCCAGAGAGTCACAGCTCCTCACTCCCTGTCCCCCAGCCCAGCAGCTGCAGGGATTTGGGTGGGGAGGTACCTGGCACACGCTGTGACCTTCAGAGGACAGTGTCCTCTGCTCTACAGCTACTAACCCACCTGCTCCTGTCCTAGTGACACACTCACACTGCAACAGCCACGAACGTGGGGGAGGCAGAAAGACCCTGATAGCTTTGGGGGTGAATTAATGTGTTCTCTGTCAGGAATAAAAATAAACATGTTCTTTCTTCCTTTCTCCCCTGCCCCAGGCCACTGATAGACCTGTTTGACCTGCGCTACTACCTGGCTGTTCCATATGAGGAGTGCAAGAGGAGGAGGAGGTAAGAAGGGTCTTCAGTGCTCATCTAGTCCCTCCTGCCAATAAAGCCTCTCTCCTAGAGTCCTCTGCTGCAGGCTTGCTGCTACTGGCATACACTGCTATCCCAAACTGGAATTGAAAACTTGCATATTAGCAGAGAAAGAGACTTTGATGTGGCACTTTCTGAAACTTCAGCTCTGTTGCCTTTGGGGGGTTGGCAGAGGGAGCAGATGGCTGCAGGAGGAGCTGAGCTGCTGTGCCCTTCCCTGTGAGCTTCAGTGAGCCCTCGGGAGCTGTTTGCTTTGCCTTCATCAGCTCCTGTGCTCACTTTGGGCACTTAAATAGCAGTGAAATGTAGCCCAGAATTGATGGGAAGCTGGCCTGTGGCAGACAGCTTGTACAGAGGAGCAGGAGGTGACCCCTAGCCCTGATGTCCCTCTCCCGTATTGGAGGGGAAGCTGGCCTGTGGCAGACAGCTTGTACAGAGCTGCAGCAGTGAGCAGGAGGTGACCCCTAGCCCTGATGTCCCTCTCCCCTGGCTGTCCAGCACACGGCAGTACACGGTGCCCGACCCGCCGGGTCTCTTCGATGGACACGTCTGGCCCATGTACCTCAAGCACAGGAAGGAGATGGAGGACGGCGGCGTGGATGTTGGTGAGGCTCCCAAAACAACCCCCAGCTCTTGTACTCTGGGGTTTCAGCCAGTAGTTCAGTTCAGGGAGACTCCAACTGTGACAGTGCAAGGCATTGCTTTATTCCTGAGTTGTAATCCTGGGCTTCCTGTCCAGGTAAACTTGTGCTGTTTGACAGCTGAGAACTTTGCCTTCACCTTGTAAGCACCTATGGGGGTGTGGGGAGGGACCCACAATCTTTTCAACAAGAGAAGGGATTTTGCTGGCCATTTTCAGGATGGTTCTGTTGTTCCAGTTGGAAAACAAGTTGTTTAGGTCAATATAGCATGAAATATTTTTAAAACTCATCTACAGAGATTTTGCTCTGATCAGAAACCTGCACCCTGACTCTGCCTTTTTCTCCCAGTTTATTTAGATGGACTGAAGTCTAGAGATGAACTTTACAATCAAGTCTTTGAAGATATTCACAACAAGCTTTTAAATTGCTCGTAGGTAAATGTGTCCCTGTTCCTGAGGGGGTGACAGATGAGGGGCTGGGGGCTGGAAACCAGCCACCCCCATGCCAGGGCAGTCACACTCTCCCTTCTTCCCCCCCAGGGTCTCTGAAGACGTGACAGAGCTGTGTACAGAACGGTGTAAATAGTACCTGGAAGTCAGGATGAGGGATTATTTGTGTAAACTCTTCGTGTACTGTCCTTTTGAAAAGCCTCTTTTGTATATAATTGAAAAATGAAGATAACTTATTCACAAGTCTGGGATGGACAGGATTGTTTTGGGTTTTTTTATTTCCTTATTTTATATTCCACTGGCTTAAAGAGCAGTTGAAAATGCATTTTTATAATGGAACAAGCAGAGCTGTGTTGGGCAAACAGACTCCTGCTTACGTGCTTCTGCAGATAAAGTCTTCATGTAATGGCTTGTTTGTAACGTCAGCTCTTCAGCTCAGTAAAATTCCATTTAAAATCTCTTTGAGGTCCTGTTTTCATACGTCAGTCACCTCTGCTCTGGTAGAACTAGGCACAAAGCTCCCCCAGAGCACACCCCAGTCCTGCTTTTTCATGTGGTGTTTGACACTTCACCCCTCTGCAGCCTCAAACCCCTTTTTGTGTGTGGAGACAGAGGCCTGGAGGCCCAGCTCAGGCATCCCAGAGGCAGTGAGATTCTCAGGGTGACTCTGGGAGGTCAGCAGCACTTCAGGGATTATTTTTTTAGGTGCCAGTTTTATGTCAGCTTCAACTCCATGGCATTTCTCACTTCACACTTGGGTTGCCCTGTAAAGGTACCATGGCCTGTTTCACCCAACAGTCGAGTGCTGCTGAGGTGAGAAGTTTGGACAGGAGCCCCCAGTTCTGCCTCCTGCAATCAAAACCAGAAGGTTATCTGATCCTGGACTCCACTGGCTGGGCCTGGGGAGGTGGCAAGGGCCCTGTTTGGGCACTGAACACCAGAAGGCAAAGGGGTGAGATTTGCCAGGGAGGGAGAGCTGCAGCCTCCTATTAAAACTGTGCTACTTGAGGGGAGCTTTTCTAGGAGTTAGCACTGAAAACCCCATCCCAGCTTCAAGCTGTAAGTGCAGCCCTGGAGAGCTGCACAGTCCCTTTACCAACAGGCTGTCAGGTGCTGTAAGGACGGGTGCTGGGAGAGCTCTCCTTGGGCCTGGGGCCATTGGCCTTCAAAGGGTGTCCTGGGAAGGTGCCTCCCCCACACAGGAGTCAGACTTGGCAAAATCCCCCTTCAAAGTGCCCAGTGGCACCTTCAGCTCTGTAAAATGGAGACACAAGGGGTTCTGCCTTTTGAGATGATCCCAGGAGGTCTGTAGAAAGTCACTTTTCTTACCCATCCACATCCTACAAGGACAGGAGCAGTGGCTGTAGAGGTGTTTCTGGTGCCAGGCTTTGCCTTGACATTTCAGGGAGAAAACCCCCACACTCCAAATGAGGGCACAAACATCATGCAAAGTGGGAACACACAAACATTCCACCTGACTCCTCTATGAAAGCACAGCTCCTGTTCTTCACCAGGCTTGTGAGCCCAAGTAACCTTCACTGGGGCAGCACCAGTGCTACAAAAAATGTCCTCTGCTCTTTGCCCCCTTTGTTCAGAGGGGTCTGTGCCCCCAGCCCCCCCGGGGGCAGCAGCAGCTCCCCGTGGCTGCAAACAGACAGGACTGGTTGAGGTGGAAGGGACCTACAACGATCATCTGGTCCCAGGGCCTGAGCACTCCAGGGCTGACCAAAAGCTGAAGCATGTTCTTAAAGGCATTGTCCAAGTGCCTCTTAAACCCTGACAGGCTTTGGGCAGCCATGACCCCTTGGGGAAGCCTCTCCCAGGGCTTGACCAGCTCTCAGTAAAGAAATGCTTCCTGATGTCCAACCCAAACCTCCCCTGACAGCTCTGAACCATTTCCAGGGGCTCTGGTGACAGCACAAGAGGAAACGGCCTCAAGTTGCCCCAGGGGAGGCTGAGGTTGTCCCTGAGGAACAATTTCTTGCCCTGGAGGGTTGCCCAGGGCTGTGCCAGGCTGCCCAGGGCAGTGGTGGAGTCCCCACCCCTGGAGGGGTTTCCAAGCTGTGGAGATGTGGGGTGAGGGACACGGGGCAGTGGGGACCTGGCAGTGCTGGGGGGTGGTTGGACTCAATGATCTGAAAACTGTTTTCCAACCAAAACTGTGGATTCTGTGGATCCCAGGAAGAAGAGCTCACTCCACATCTCGGGAAGCTGCAACAAGGTTTCCCCTCAGCCTTCCACCCAGAGGAGGCCAACCCGGAGCGAAGCCGTGGCTGCAGCGTTGTCCTGGGCGAGCGGCTGGCGCCGAGCTAAC